ATAGGAAATAGCAAGAGTGATTACAATAGTTCCTATTGCATTACATGCATAGGAACTAAAAAGTAATATTGACTGAAATTGAACCCAGAACCATAGGAAAAGAAAGAAAGCATCTTAACCACCAAAACTCCACTTCCCAACAATAAGTATGTTTAAAAATCTATAATATTATTATTTATTAGTATTATTATTATTTTTTTTTTTAATTATTATTATTTTTTTAAAGTTTTTAGCTTAACACAGAGAGTTAGTATACTGTATGTGGTATATAAATGTCTAAAATGAGCTTAATATGAATTTGAAATTACCAGTTGCTGAAGATTTTGATGCTTTCTTTTCATTTTTTGACTTTTCGCCATGCTTTATCTTCTCTCTATGTTTTGACTTCTCTTCATGTTTTGACTTCTCTCCATGCCTAAGTTTTTCCTTAGGTGATCGAGGTGTGACACCTACTATCAAGCTTCCATCCGGAATGGTGATGTTGGTCGAATCATCAGACTCTGAATCCTATAGGATAGTTAAAACAATGTCCAAAGAATGTAATTCAAAGCGTCATGAACTTTATTTTTTCATCTTCAGAAATAAAGAAATATCAAAAATTTAAATTTACATTATAAATATGAACATGTGTACAATTACGAACAGCTGCACAACAGTAAAAAAAAACAAGTAAAATATTTCTTGTGGGACTGAGGTTTATTATGGTAATCTAACTTATTACTTATATGTAAACTTCTAAAAAATCTGTGATGTTTTGTCAAGTGTGAATGTGAGGTTCATAAATTAAACACAAATTCTGTCTTGGCTGGATTAGAGGCCATGGTTCTTAGAAATCGGAGGCAAGCATACTTTCATGTATCCTTCTTTGTGGTTGTTTCTGTTGATGACTGTATATCTCTGTGCTGACTAAAGTACTGTTCACACTTAAATTTTATGTAACATATGTAATTCATCTGCCCATATATGGGCATGATGACAATACATCATACCCATGGACAGTTCACATAAAATTAATAGTGTGTTGCTTTAGTATTATTTGTAATAATCACCAAAGATTTTCTTGGTGGAGACTTGCATTCAAAAGGGAAAAATGCATTTTAAATGAACAGTACTAGTATCAAAGTAGCGAATATAAAGCAGGTTAATATTGATATTTTCCACAAATCAGGTTTTGAATAAAGAGCATATTTTTTATATTATACCTCACTGAGATGAGTGCCACTAACTGCAGACGTTGGTTTCTTCTTTTTCCAACTGCTAAACATAGAAGACTTCTTTCCACCAGATACTTCACTACTCTTGGAGTTGCTGCTATAACTTCTTGGTATTGATTTTTCTGAAGGAACTAACTCTGGTGCAGATGGAAGTGGTGAATCACTTGGTTGGAGAGCTTGGTCTGAGAACTGAATAGAACGGACCTTCTTTGTTTCTGTATAACTTTCTTCTGCGGGTACATCTTTGACTTCGTCTATGCCCTCTGTTACTTTGATTTCTTCCTTCATAGGCAACTGCTTTGTGAAAATATAAAAATGAAAATATTGACAAACTGACATCAAAAAATCAACATACTTTTTATTCAATGCTACCTTATTGTTTTTTTTTAGAAATCTGTAGGTTTGTATTGTAATCATGAGCTCTTTAAATCTGGTATTGTATGCAAGTTTGCTGTATGCACATCTAACTTCTTCAATTTCTATTATATACTACTCAAGTAATTATTATTTACATAATGATATTATTTACGTAAAGCTAGCCTTGTAGTTTTTCAGATGTTAATACAAATATACAAGGTAGGCATTTAATAAATTGAATAGTAATAACTACATTAAACACATACCTCATCAGTAGAAGCATTATCAGGTTCTAATCTAGACATTTCCACTTCAGCATTTGAAGCTGTTCTCTGTTTGGTTGATGACTGAACTCTATCCTTCACCAGAACTTTATTCACTTTTTGTTTCTTTTTCTGAATAACTCTTCTAGAAGCTGAACTGGGTTTCTGCAAGTAAAGATGCAGCAGTTTTAATCAATTGGTTATTTCCACTAATTTTTGTTGAATATTTTCTTTGCTGCACAACACCAGTCAGCTCATTCTCTATCATAATCTATTTAAATTTAGAAGACCAACATACTCTTTGATGATTATCTGTTACTTACTTCTATGATTTCTTCTTTCTTTGCAACTGTTGTATTCTTTTGCTGAGAACTCGCAGTCTAGTCACAAATTGGAACAGTACCAAATGAAAGATAAAAAATATAAATTTAAGTAAAAAATGAGTAAATTAAAAATATGTTATCATAAATTAGTGTTGGCGATCTATTAGATATTACTGTCGCACCATAATGTAGTACCACAACACCTTCAGTACTTTATTATGATCTATGTGTGTATTAGAATAGCTTTTACATAAAAGAATAATATCAAATTTTATAATCCAGTTATAAAGTGGGTTAACTAGTGATTATGCTTTCTTTAACTTTGGGCCACAGTTTCGGATGTGCCCCTATCACAAATTGACCTATTTCAGAGTGTCAATCAATCCTCACTGACCAATCAATCTAGGCCAGGATTAAGTGCTTGTTTGACCAGACACACATACACACATGTTTGTGTACGTTTTACACTTTCGTTTTGAGGGACCTTATAGTAACAATATCTAAGGGGCGGAGCTTAGTGCACAAAAACTTCGACTACATTGTTTGTGAATACAAATTGAAGTTAAAGATGCAACTGGCACTAAATGAAGTTCTAGATCGAAGTTCGACTAAAGTTTGTTTTAAGAATACGGGCGTTAGTGACAACATGCCTGGGGCGGAGCATATCGCTAAGGTCCATTATAAGATGCTCTCTTCACTATTTGCAACCTTATGGATACCCCATCAAGAGAGCTGACTATTACACGTTCTTAATATGCCACTGATCTAATGACTGGTGTACAAAGTGTACAAAAACCTATGTAGTATGTAACACAATCATATTATAACTCTCAACTAGTACAACTGCAAGATCCTCTTCAAAATTACCTCTTTAGCGACGGGTTGTTTAAAATCCTTAGAATCCTTCATCAATGAGTTAGCATCAATCTTGTATCTGGAGAGACTAAACCTGGAAACCTCTTCCAATGCTGGCTTCTCTTCAGGTTTTTGCTTAACAGGCAGTGGTTCAGGCTGCTGCACTTCAATCAATGACTTAAAATCTGAAGGTAAATGGTTCAAGCAATCAATGTATTAAGAACATAATCTTAAAGCCAGGCTCTGGAGAAAGTATCTTGTACAACTGATAAAAAAAAATGTGCTCGATTAAAAAAGAAAACTCTGAAACATTTATTTACATACAGGTTTTCGAAAATTTAAAAACTGGTTGAGAAAGTGTAAAAAGGCTGGTTATGGCCCTTTTCAACCCAGGTTTAAATATTAAAACAAACAAATCTGTTGTACAAAATATTTAAAAAAAAACTGTTCTTCCAGAGCTTTGCTTTAATATTAAACCTAATTATTGAACATGTAGTAAACATCAGCATCAACAGTGTATTGATGATCTACAACTATAAGAATCATCACCATCATCATTGTTAACACCCACATTTTCATCCCCATCATTATTCACAATAGCAGCACCACCATTTTGGATGAAGGTACAGTATTGTAATGCTTTTCAA